CCCGCGCGACAGGTTGAGGGGGGGGCTGAGCCGGTCCACACCTATGCGTCCCCGACGCACACGCACAAGGGGATTGTTGCGGCAACCTGGACAGTGCGTCCGCGTTAGCGTGACGCACACCCTTCCGATGGTGAATTTGGAAGGAGAATTCTTGCAACGTGTCCAGCCATCTCGCCAATTGTCCGGATGGCTGGTCCATCTTAAGAGCGTACTGCAAGGCCGCATGGTCCGTTCGGACAATAAACGACCGACCGTACAGATACGGTCGAAATTGGCGGAGAAAATACACAATAGCCAAAAGTTCCCTGCGAGTGACGCAGTAACGAGTTTCCGCGGGAGACAAAACCCGACTCCCGTACGCCACCACACGCTCAACACCACCTTTTGACTGGGACAACACCGCCCCAATCCCGGTGTCACTCGCATCAGTATCCAGAATGAAGGGATGTTCAAAATCCGGATAATCCAACGTCGGCGCAGTAGCCAGTAGGTCGCGCAGGCTCCGAAACGCCGCCTCCTCCGGCGGTCCCCACACAAATTTGTGCCCCTTCCCAGTAAGGAGATGCAAAGGCCTGGCGATAGTAGCGAAATTCGGAACAAACCTCCGGTAATATGAGGCGAACCCCAAAAACCGACGCACATCACCCACCGTGGCGGGGGTTGCCCAATCCCGGACACACGCAGTTTTCTCTGGATCCGTGGCCACCCCGTCCGCACTAACAATATGTCCCAAGTATCGAACGGAACGTTGCAGTAGATGACATTTCTTAGGCTTGAATTTCAAATTAGCAGAACGCATTCTGGCAAAAACGGCCTCCAACCGCAATAAATGCTCATCAAATGTGCGGCTGAAGACAATAATATCATCTAAATAAATGAGACATGTCTCCCACTGCAACCCCGTCAATACCAACTCCATCAATCTCTGAAAGGTGGCAGGGGCTGCATTCAACCCCATCGGCAGACAGTTAAATTGGAACAACCCCTGCGGCGTACGGAACGCTGTCTTTTCCCGCGAGGGCTCGTCAAGGGGAAGCTGCCAGAAGCCCGAAGAGAGATCTAGCGTTGAAAAAAACTTAGCCCCTGACAAGGCGTCGAGAGAATCGTCCATACGCGGCAGGGGATACGCATCTGCCACCGACACTTTATTTAACTTCCGAAAATCCACACAAAATCGTAATTTACCATCTTTCTTTTTAACCAACACGACAGGCGCACCCCACGGGCTATTAGACGGAGATATAATATCCGCTTTCAACATGTCTTCCACTGCCCCTCGAACGTGCTCACGCTCAGCCGGACTCATCCGACGCGAGTTCAAGCGGATAGGGGCCGCGTCCCCCGTTTCGATGTGATGAGAGAGCAGCGAGGTGCGTCCCAAGTCCAAATCGTCCGAGCTAAACACATCGGAATAGCTCGCTAATAATTTATGAATCGCACAACGCTGCTCAGCGGAAAGGGCCGAATTTTCCGCACATAATTCGGCGATCCAACGATCGTCCACCCCTCCGTCGTGTGAAACACCACCCACCAGCCCCCCGTCCGGAATGTCACTCTGAGCCGTAAACGCCGTAGTGGCGTGTGCCACAACGGTACCAGCCGGCACACACACGCTTTCAGAAGTCGCATTTAACACCTGCAAAAACGGGCGCTGATCCGGACGGACAATGGTTTGCGCCCCCACCAGTGCCAATCCGCCCGTAACAGCGGCGGACGGCGACAGCAAAATTCCACAAGCACTCTGCCGACCCGGAACCGGCTTCCGGTATCGTAGGGGAATGAGCATCTGCGAGCCAGGTGGAATATCAACTGAAACTTCCGATAACGCCTGCACCTGGGCAACCGGAGCCGGTCGCCCCCAGGTGGACTGTAAAAACGCCAATTTGCGGCCCCCTGGCAGTTCAATGCAATTTTCATTGATTCTAATTAAAATGGGCATCTTAGCCAAAAAATCCGTGCCCAACAAGCAAGGAACCGCCAGGGACCTCGAAATTAACACAACGCCCGAGGCCGAGACCCCCCCGATAGAAATATTAGCGTCCACCTGTCCCACGATGCCCATACTACCCCCGTTCGCAGCGATGCAGGAAGCGTAAGCCGGCCTCACGGCCCCCGGTGGGATGTTCAAAAGATGGAATATGACATCCGAAATAATGGTCGCGGACGCCCCGGAATCCACCAAAATACGCACGTCCACCCCTTGGATCGACCCCGGTACAGTGGACGAACCTGTAGCGGCCGCGACAACCCGCCGAGCCAACTTACGCCACTGCGTTATCGAGCGACAAGGCGCAGATACTGGCCTCCCATATTTTAGAACATCCGCGTCGCACAACAACGGCGATGAGTGAGGTGTCAGGCCTTGCCGGGTGTCTGGTGCGCACCGACTTGCCTGTGCCGGAGGGTCTTTCTTTGGGACGTCCGCGATCGAGGCCTCCTGCTGGGGCGGCCCCGGAACCCGGGCCCAGCAGTCCCTGGCATAGTGGCCCCGACGGCCGCAGCGGAAACAGTCGACGTCGGGTCGGCGCGCAGCAGGCACCCCGTCCCGACGTGGCCGCGCCGGCGGCGGAGCCCGCGGCCCCGGCTCGCTTCGAGCCGGCCACGGAGTGGAGGCGGCCGACAGCTCCTTTGGGCCGGTCGCATCCGGCACGTACACGGCCTTTGTAGGGTCCCACCCTACGGCCCCCCCATCGACGACAGGACCGCCCGTCCACGCCGTGACTTGTTTCCAGCGGCGGAGATTGAACTGGGCGTCCAAACACTTAGCCGCGGTCCGGGACGTGAGTTTCTCGTGACCGCAAGCCGGCATAGGAATGCCCAGATCCCGGGATAACTCCAACATCTTCCCCAAGATGAGAGGTTCCAGCAGGTCAGGCTCCGTCTCCGGGTAAGCGGCCATCGCGAGTTCCAGCACGGCGCCCCTGTACGCTACAGGCGACTCCTCCGGTGCGCGTTGCCGCTGCACGAAGCGGCGATGGGCGTCATCCGGTGGCTCGTACGCGTCCGCCATTTCGTCGAACACTCCACGCAATGTTTTCTTCTTCGCAGCTTTTATAGAGCGAAAAAAACGAACAGACTCATCGTCAAGGAGAGTCGGAAGCACCTCCAGCGCCTCGGCGTCCGTCCACCTTGCCGTTCGTACCGCCGCCAAAAATCGACAAGCGAACGCACTCCAATCGCCCCCGATGGAGAACTCCTTAACAGTTGTAAGGTGACGACTGCGGCTCCTTGGCCTGCTTCCGTCCGTCACCGACTCTTCCGGCGGCAAGTTCAGCAAGGCGTCGCAACGCGGTGTCGCCAAGATGGCGGACGATCTTCGTGGCGGCCCCAAGATGGCGGCTTCCCGCCTTCCGTGGTGCGCCACGCCCAAGATGGCGTCTTCACGCCGCGTGGTCGATGGCGGCGCCATCGAAGACGACCCGGGCTCCTGCCGATCACCACCATCACCTTCCAACGCCGCCCTTGGCGTGACAAGGTCACACAACTCCGTGATGACGGTTTTTAGGGTCGCCAGTTGCTCCGCCATCCGGGTCCATCTTAAATCTTCGTCCTTCAACGCAGATGGGTCGGGCGCAGCGGCAACCTCCTCCACACCCGGGCCCTCACGGATCTCTCCCTCCGCCGAAGTGAAGCCGACCTCAGGAGGAAGATCGTCGTCGTCCGATGATGAAGCCGACGCCGGAGATGGGATATTCTTCTTCCTCAGTTGTTTCGCCATGCCGTTTCACTTCTGACTCCAGTGTAATAAAAGGACTCGAACACTTCTTTCTGTCTTCGTGTCTTTATTCAGGTTCACGTCTTTACCCACACGGCACTCTGTTATAACTCCTGTATTTGTAGCCCCCGGCTATTCACTGCTATTATAGCTTCCTCACCCCTCTGACTCTCTGCTTCATCTACTGTAACCTCCTCCCTGCAGACTTGCTGCTACCCCTATGTGCAGACCCTCTGGCTGTCACTGTATGCAGACCCGCTGCCCACTCTCTCTGTGCAGCCCCGCTGCTGACTGCAGCCTCCTCGCTGCTTCGGGTCGGTCACCGCTGGCCAACGGTGCCGATCCTCGCTCCCCCCGTGTTCGTGGCGATCTCGCCACACCCCGCTTCGCCCTTCGTGGCCTTCCTCTGTTCCTGGTTCCCCGTCACTCCCCCTGCTCTTCCGGTTCCCCTCCTTCTATACTCAACCCCTCTCCCCCCACGTGACCTAACTCCTCCCCCCCTGACGGCACCTCAGAAGGGCCGTTTACAACCGCATTACAAATGGACGCGCGCGCGTGTGTTGTGTAGGGGGAACGGTAGTGTAGTGCTTAGCGTGCTGCCTGTGTCTGTGTGTGTGTGTCTGTGTGTGTGTGTCTGTGTGTGTGTCTGTGTGTGTGTCTGTGTGTGTGCGTGTGTGGTGTGTGGGGAGCGGTAGTGTAGTGGTTAGCGTGCTGTCTGTGTGTGTGTTTCTGTCTGTGTGTGTCTGCGTGTGTCTGTGTGTGTGTCTGTGTGTGTGTCTGTGCGTGTGTGGTGTGTGAGGAGCGGTGGGTGTAGTGCTTAACGCTACGCTGCGCTACCAACCCGGCAAACCCAGTTCGATTCCCGCTCACGGCCACCACCGGTGACGATTATTTGAACCTCCCCTAGGTCGACTCTGCCTCAAACGAGTAACTTAACTACTGTAGCGTATTAACATCGCCACTGGGGAGACAAAGGCGGCCGGCCGTGGTAGATACAAGTCCCGGGCGAAGCCGGGTAGTACAGCTAGTAGAGTAATAAAGTGTCAGCAGGTGACCTGTAACAACGTGTCTGACTGAGTGATTTTAGAAGACACCACACCTGTATACCAGGCGAGGTAGTTAACATCTCCCTACCGTGGCACTGGAATTTCCAAATAAAACAGTCAAAAATGTGCACTTTAATTATTTCCAAAAATACACAACAAAAAAGATTACCAACAGCTACATTACTGCCGAGATGGGGAATCTTTGAGCGGTTATTGGTATGAAATAAATCGGTACGCACCATCCTCTGGGCTCAGGTCTAGAGGCTGCACGGTGATGTAAACACTGGTTGGCTGTGTCAGCTCCAGACGGTAGTGATGGCTCACCAAGCTGCCATCCTCCTCCACGAAGAAGCAACCCTTGCTGCGGATGTGTTTCCAGTCCTGCAGAATCCCATCACAGCAAATGCAATGTGCTCACAACCACTGGCTTGCGGGGGAGACGTACAATAATAATAATGCCTGCTCGCCTTATCACCTGACGTTTGAGTATAATAAAGGAGTAAATAAGGTATGAGTATTTGAAGATAGACAACTCTCATGCGCTCTTTTTTTACATCAAGTAATGTAAATATATTGGGATGTTATGAATGAAAACGTGACAAAAATGCGTACATAAACAACATTTTGAGCAAGAGTTCTTTACTGCAACTATAACCTCTTAAAATGTTTTATTACAGACATTACATTGTACCATTCTCATGCGCTCCTTAATCTAGTTACCTTTGTTGCCTGCTATTTTGCAATATACGCCTTTGCTTGGGAAATTCAATTAAAACACTAAAGATCGCCAACACACAGCACACTCTTCCTGGATCAATTATTTATTATCACTGTAGTGACGTTAATAGTCACGATGACGTTTAGCACCAGCTACTGTCACAAGAGTGGAACTGTACGTCTTGAGCCTCCCTCTGGCACCAGAGTAGATATGGCATGGAAGCGAGCCTAGGGGGCATCGTTCGGGTGACGGTCTGAGGGAGGGCAAGTGAGGACGTGACAGTCTGGGTGAACCCGAGAGGGCACGTGACCCGGACAGGGTAGCGAGGGGAGACACGTGATATATGGCCTAGAGCCTTCTAGTCGGATCTAGAAGGGGGCGTGGCCAGGCCACGCTCAGAGGCATAAAAGGGAAGTCCCGAGAGCCGAACTGGGCTATTTGTTGGAATGGAACCCGTTGGTGCTATGTCTCTCCGATCTTCAGTCTTTACGCTCGGCTTCGTGGGTCAGGCAGTATGTTACGGACTCACCCGGTTATATAGTTACCCCGTTGTGGCCTAGTTAACTAAGTGTACGTTTATGCAGTTACCCTGTTGGGGTGTTATAATAAACGTGTTGCCTCCAAGTTCTAGTGTGTGTCTCCGTGGAACCCACTACATCACAATAAGAGCTCCTTAATGATGCTTTGTAGATACCCAGTATATAAAGCAAAATAATTATATATTTTTCGATCTCCAAGGTTTCCAAAATGACTGCAATATAACATTCCATACCTCCTCTGCCTGTGATTGCATTTAGTGTTGAAACATCTGCAGGAATTAATGTACTTGTGAAATTTGTACTTCATATGTACAAAAACCGATTGCACTCCCCTACTGGAGATTTGTGAAAAAGAGTTTCATAGGTTAGTGGATTCCTCCAGTCTAAATAAAGATTCTGCTTCCGATTCTGTACCTTAGAAGTGTCTTCAACGATAGCATGACATGTTTTTTTTTCCTTCTCTGCCTTGTGGCTTCTTATCCCTCATCTTCCTCCAGTAAAAACACAATTCTCATTTATCTCCCCTGTCTCTCCAACGCACAACTCACTCTTTGTTCAGCGTTATCGGATGCGATAACACTTCGGCGCTGTATAGATCCACATCCTAACTGCATTGTCATTCACCCGTCTACGCGTGATTGCGTCCGTCATGCTCCGTAGAGGCGTGCGCATCACCTTAAGGTTCTTCGGCTCGGGAAGCTTTCCACGTGCATTGCCAGCTGAGACGCTGACCACAGAGGACACGGAGGGTCGGCGATCACGCCCCGACGATGATGGCCTGGAGGCTGCCCGCATGGCTGGCTGCGGGGTGACACGTGGCGACGCTCGGGGCGAGGCTTCGCTCTTGCCTGGAAACAGCCAACGGTTGGGTGAGATGTTAACGACATTGCCTGGTATACAGGAGGTCGTGGGTCCGATCCCGACTGACGCCTGTATATTTGGAGTTTGCATGTTCTCCCTGTGGTCGCGTAGATTTTCTCCGCGTCCTCCGGTTTTTCCCTCCAAATTTAGAAACATGCGTTTATAGTATTTGGTTACGATAAATTTCCACATGATAAGCCAGTTCGTTGAGCTATCATTTGTGGCCAGGTCACTTCTGAAAAAGAGCTATATAGCTCAGTGGGCCTTACCTGGTAAAAAAAAAAAATTGGGGGAATTATTTTTGCCGATTCTCGACCCGTATGCGAGAGATTGAGATTTGGGGCAGCAGTGGGTGACGACTGCCATTGCTTGCAGACCAACCGCTGTCTGGCGATGCCTCCCTCTGAGTCAATCAAACTAGCCAATTGCTTGCACTGTGTTGCGAGTTCCATTTTCAAATAATTCTGTCAATCCACGGCTGAATGAAGGCCTCCCCATGCCCGGGCAGTCACGCGGTATTTGAAGATACTCTCTCGTACTGATCAGTTTGAGTGGGTAAAAGAGAGGGGCTTAGGACTAGTTCAGATATCACTTGCCACTGGTATCAGGCATGCCCGGATATCCAACTCAAGTCACTGGATTCACGGCGCAATGCGCCGACCACTGCCCCTCACATAAGTACCAATAGCGACCCACCCCACGAGTTACTCCACGACCCACCCCAAGAATCCAAATTAGCTGCAACATTTCCATCATATGTGTTAAATAAAACACATATGATGGAAATAATGAGTGTATGTATATTGTGATTTAATAAAGATCAATTTTAATCGATGAATCATGAAACATCTGTGATGTCCACTCTCTGTGTTTCTTCAAATCCAGACTCAAAACATCATTTTTTCCTCCTGCCTATGACCGACGGTTTCTCACTCTAACAAAATATCCCCACTGTTCTGAATAGTGGTCACGTGACAAACCTTACTAGTTGGCTGTGTTGGGTGGAGGTGGGTTTACGACACATTTACATTTACGATATCTAACCTAAAAAAGGTTCCTCTGAATTATATAACATCATTTAACATAGTTTATCATTCAATCAGTCGCGGGGTTCATTTCCTGTTACAATGCACGTCCTGATGCAATGGCACCATGGTGGCGAGATGTTAACCCGGTATGCAGGATCATGGGTTCGATCCCAAACCTTGATGCTTGTATATTTGGAGTTTTTATGTTCTCCCCGTGGACGTGTGGATTTTTATCCAGGTCCTCCGGTTTTTCCCTCCTCATTTAGAATTTTGGCTGCAACAAATTTCCACACGATAAGCCACTTTGTTGAGCTATCACTTGTGGCTCAGTGCGAATTACCTGGCAAAATAAAAATAGTTTACTCTTTGGTTCTTTAGGTAAAGTGACGTAGAAAGAAAAAGAAAATAAATAATAGCATACGTCGTTTCGATTGAAACACATGCAATCATCATCAGGTGCAAATGAAAGAGAAAACAAACCTAGTAAACTTAGAAATATAATGCAATACAACACAGAGAGTCGGCTAGCATAACAGTCAACACCCTAACTGGTTGATTACGTTCTTCCAAAGATTGCTAAATTTGAGAGAGAGGCAAAACACAGACACACATAGACAGACACACAAGCAGAGAGAGATAACACAGAGACACACAGAGAGAGAGACACACATAGGCACACAGAGAAACAACGCCTATGTGACTCTCTGTGTTGAATTGCATTACATTTCCAAATTTTGCTGAGTTTGTTTGATTAAGTGTGTTTTCTCTCCCTGTGTGTCCTCGTATTGTCGCTCTAGTATTTCCTGCAGTCACGAAAGCTCCAAATCTCTCATTGACCTGCTAATTTCTCTACCCCCCCTCTGCCCCCCTCTCTCTCTATATTTAAGGCCTCGACACAGAGGCGTTGTTTCTCTGTGTGCCTATGTGTGTGTTGCTCTGTGTGTCTCTGTGTTATCTCTCTCTGCTTATGTGTCTGTCTATGTGTCTCTGTCTGTGTATTGTCTCTCTCTCAAATTTAGCAATCTTTGGAAGAACGTAATCAACCAGGTAGGGTGTTAACTGTTATGTTAGCCGACTCTCTGTGTTGTATTGCATTATATTTCTAAGTTTACTAGATTTGTTTACTCTTTCATTTGTACCTGACGATGATTGCTTGTGTTGCAATCGAAACGTCGTATGCTATTTAATTTATTTTTCTTTCTATGTGACTTTACCGAAAGACCCAAAGAGTAATTCCTGCAGTCACGAAAGCTCCAAATAAAATTTAAAAATAGTTTAGTTTTATTTTAACGTTTTGGCCCACGTCTGTGATTTTCTGGGGCAGCGTGATTAGTTGGTTGGCTTCTGTAGCGAGTCCGATCTTCGTGCTTACTCAAGCGAAGCCGGAATCGGTGGGCGATATGAAGTAAATCGTAATTCTGTATTAGCGTCGTGGCTTGAGCAACAACATTTGTGACCAGGTTGCCTCTCAGTGGGCCTTAACCTGGCGAAATAAAGAGAGTGTTAGTAGTTGAGTTTGGGGAGCAACGTGCCTGTGCGTGACGCGATGCCCCTCTCCGTTGCTTGGCTGCCCAGTTGCCACACTCTACCCCTGCCGTCCGCTTCTAGTCGCTCCAGCGCCATCCGCTCACACTGCCGAGCGGTTTCCAACACCATCCGGCAAAACTGGCACAGGTAGAATAGAAGCATCCGTGAATTCATAAGAGCTCTTGGGTTGTGTGTACTTGTCGCGTGTTACAGTTACACTGATATATGACTCCGTTTTGTCTGTGGATGTATAAATTACAAATGCATCATTGAAATTACCTGCATAATGTTGTACGTATGTATGTTGAACTTCTTTCACACCGAACATAGCTAACCGCGCTCACCAAAGTGTTGGAAGGTCTGTCGATATATTTGCCAATGGAATATTAAAAGTGTGGTTGAATATAGTATATGAAAAGAACACTTAAATATCTGAAAAATGGACAATGCAATATATTTTATATATATACGAAAGAATGTACAGTCCTTTCATCAGTGCACTGCTGAATGAGGACCTCTACATGCCTCGCGCGTCAAAGAGCGAGACCAGCTGCGCTTGGCCCGCGACTGGAAAATGCTAGCTGACATTGGCCGGCAACTTGTGTTTCCTCCGGAGATCGCAACCACCACCCTAAGACCTGACATGGTGCTCTGGTCCCGTTCGCTCAAGAAGGTCTTCATCATTGAACTCACAGTACCCTGGGAGGACTCAGTAGATGAGGCTTATGAGCGAAAACATCTGCGCTATGCCGATCTAGCTGCCGAAGCACGGCATCATGGCTGGAACACAGAAGTCCGACCAGTGGAGGTGGGCTGCAGAGGTTTTGTGGCAACATCTACAACCAGACTGCTTAGAGACCTGGGAATTAAGGGCCAGAGCCAGCGTTCGGCAATCAGAGCTGTATCGGAGGCGGCAGAAGGCAGCAGTCAGTGGCTCTGGATGAAGAGGAAAGACTCCAGCTGGGCCCCAAAGTGAGAGGGCCAGGAGGTATGCAGTCAACAATGCTTGACTCAGGGAGGAGGACGCCCCTGCCATGCATAGTCCCATGGGATGTTGGCTATCAACAACAAGGCAACTCCTATGACTAATTGGGAATGGGACGCAAGCGTAGGATTGATCACCCTGTCGCTGGCCGCCTTTGGGGAGGGTGTATAGTATGAAAGGCCGAAACACCCTAGGACCCAAAGGTTCACTACTGACGATGCGCTCCCCAAATTTCACCAGGCTCACTGTTCATGAACTCTTGGAAGTGCTTGCACAAAGGATAGTAACATCTCATCCTGTGTTCTTTGGAATCACCACGCTGATCAGCGTGGGTTGTCAAAGCCTGGCAGCATAGATGTGGTGGCATAGAAGTACAATATAACAATGGATTTTGGCTGCAGTTCCCCGCATATAATACATAACATGGGTCTAAAAATAAGCCTGAAATGTTACTACAAAACGTATTAATTATAGTTCTATAGAATTAAACTAACAGAGGTGGATTGATAAGTTTAGCAGTGTTTTATAAAATTATGTAGGCATATATTCTTTTTTCCCATCTGTTCAATGATACCATATTTAAAACTATACTTTTGTAATAAAAAGGACTCAGACGCTTCTCGCTGACTCCGTGTCCTTTATTTGGGGTTCGCGTTCTCCTTCCCACACGGCACTCCTCCTGAGACTCTCTCCCTGGCAGCCCCACATCTGCCTTCGCTCCCCTAGCCTTCCACGCTCCTGCAGCTCCGCTGCAGGCTCTTGGTACAGCCCTCTGGCTGCTCCCCCAGCAGCTCCATCGCTGCTCCCTGTTCCTCCGTGCGTGGCGATCTCGCCACCTCCCAATGTCAGCCCTTCGTGGCCTCTATGGCTATCTCGCCATTTCCTACCTCAGCCCTTCGTGGCCTCTGTGGCTATCTCGCCATTTCCTACCTCAATCCTCCACTCTCTCTTCCACCCCGCTGGCTGGCGCCGTCATGAGCCCCTCAGCCACCAGGCTGAGGCACGGCGACCACCCAACGTGTTCACCACCCTTCACTCCCCCGACTGACCCAGATAGCTTCCTGTCTCCCCGCTATAACTTCTCCCCCACGTCACCCTGACTCCTCCCTCTCGGATCGTCATATCCGCCCCGCCCATTTACGCCCGCATTACACTACCCTCCCCCGTAGAGAAAATCCCAGCCGTCCTCGGCTGAAACAGAACAAAATAATGCGGGCGAAGGCATCACAATCAGGAGTCCCCCAGACACAACGGAGATTATAACAACAACAACACAAGCAACGAAAGGGGAGGTATCAGGAACTGGAACAGAACACCGGCCTGTCCTCCGCGCAACATCAACAAGAATAAAAATGGCACAATGAACAAAAACGGCAACTGACACGCAAGAACGGCCAACGCGCACAATCCAGAAATGTGATGTTTTAGTGCGTGTCCATGTTGCAGTTCCATCCGCTCGGCTCAAGTCCAACGTCAAAGAGCAAGTGGTAGAGCAGAATGACGAACGGCGCTCAATTGCTCCTTCAAGTCCTCATCCAGCTAGCACACCAGGTAACACCCAGTGCGACGGGAGCTGAAGAATCTGTGACGAGAAGGAGAATCCAATCCCCTGAGGCACAGCACAACAACGCACATCCGCATGTCGTACACGACAGCCACCCGGCCTCAGGGTAGTGGAGATGATGTAAATCCAGCCCGCTTAAAAAAAACTCCCCATAAATACCCAAAATAACGCAATGGATGCCCCATTATTTACATTTTAACAACAATATTATTTACACGTGACAACAACAACAACAAAATTTCCTGCTCTTACCCACCAGCAGTCCTCCCTTGAGGACCAGCACAGACATCGCACGTACACAGCATGTACCCACGGTCACTCTCAGCAACCCAACAAAACGCCTAATCGCACACCCTCGTGTGGAGAGAGCCACGCTCCCCAGCGGTAACGTTTAACTCGCCCTAACCCCCACCGTGGTCGTCAACCCACAGCAACATCCACTGACCATACTCTCAGCTAGTGCAATTTCGGGGATGAGCAGCAACTCGGCCATGCTCCTCCCTTACTATCCCATCGGAGATGGACACACACCAGCCTCGTATAGTCCGATGCTTTATAGCCCAGGGAAGGTTCATCCCCCGGCAATGCCAGACCCCATGGACTCCCCCCACGGGGCAATGTTCTCTTATAGAGACAATAACACCCTAACCCAGATCCCGTGAGCCCCCGGCACACCAGGTTCAGTCTGCCACCGCACAACTGAACCATGACTCCCCGAGCCATATGAGCACATGGCCCATTAGTTTAAGACATACCACGGAGGTTTCGCCTCCGGGCTGTCAGGTCAGCCATCAGCCATAGGCCGAAGTGACCACAACTCGTGCATCACCCACTCAACAATGGCAGGCATAACAGATGGAATATTTGCCCCACCGCGGTTTTTCCCGCGCGCTCAAAATGGCGTCCCCCTTCGCCCAGCGCGTTCGCGCAATATCTCGCGCGCACTCAAAATGGCGGCCCTTTCCGCAAAGCGCATCGTCACCATACCCCGCGTGCGCGCAAAATGGCGGCCCAACGTGCGAACACGTGGCCAGTTTTCTCCATTCGTGCACCCCAGCTTCCCTTAACTGGGGGTCACAAGACGCATCCCCCGTCACGTTATAACAACCCCACCAACGATAGACGCACAGCCCCAGCTTGCTGCGCACAGCTGTCATATCGTGGAATTTTTAACCAATATTTTACCAACCACATTGGTTACACAACCCAACTCGCCAAGCAACTCGTGGCTGCATGCGATCAACCGAATACGCGACGCCACTTGGCGCCAATTTACGGTCCCATTAGCATTAACCTTTGAGACACCCACAACGGCGTCATCACGCACCCTCAAAGCGCGCTCTCTCTCTCAAAAAGCGCAATTACCCATAATATACACGAAATCTCGTGTGCACAACACCAATACAACCGAATTTTAGGGTCCCCCTCTATAATATACACGCAATCTCGTGTGCACAACACCAATACAACCGAATTTTAGGGTCCCCCTCGAATTTGTTACCAATTTCCAACAGGTACGCACAATATAATAACAATCCCAATTCCAATAATCAACCACTGCATCGCACCCCATAACCATACAGAACGGTATAACAGCACATGCAATCAGCATATCGCGATCACACGCGCACATTTAAGCACAATAGCAAGCAGATCTGCAGGCAACCAACACACCATTAATCCTGTCGTAACTTTGCAGCAACAACACAATTATTCTCTCTCTTGCAACAATCGCATCGCACACAGCACCTCGCAGCACAATACACCAAAAAAATATATATATTTTTTTTTCCAATTAAGCCCATCACACAAGGTAACCCACAAATAATACAGCGCAAGATACCCGACGCTCCCAAGTTAATAATTAACTTCACCATCAAGATAACAACTCCACGCAGCAGCGCACACACACAATTTGACACTCAGCAAATACAGCAGACTCTCCGTCCATTCTCAACACACGCACACACTTATATTGACACCAAGCAACAAGCAGATAGCGCGTTCATCGTTATTACACACACATACAGACAGTCCGAACCGCGCTCCGCACAATCGAGTCATAAGAGAAAACCAAAATACCCCCCCCCCGGCCCTCGAAAGATGAGTGAGGTGTGTGTTAAGGCCGGGTGCGTATCGTTATGACTCGCCCGGGGCTGCAGCAAGAAGAGGACGGCAGGGTGGCAACTTGAGACGCCTCGCAGAACTCGTTCGGCGACTTGACGGCTCCGTTGTCACGCACCCGAACCAGGACGGGAAGCTCCCGCCCCAGCAGCTGCAGCATCGGCGTCTTCTCCTCGCAGCACCCCCTCGAAAAACAGCAGCTCACAGCAGGCTGCTCACCCCGCGGCACCTCCAGATGGCAGCGCAAGGCTGCCTCTCCGCCGCGATGTTGAAGATGGCGGCGTCCTCCCGCCGCGGTGAAGACAAGATGGCGGCTTCCCGCCGTTTCTCCCCTGCCACGCCCAAGATGGCGTCTTCGTGCCACGTGGCAATGGCGCTGGCAGCGCAGGAAAGGCAGAGGCCTGCGGATCACCACCGGGCCTCCCCGACGTCGTCCTCGGCGTGGTGAACTCACACAGTCGCGCCAGCACGATTTTCAAGGTCCCCATCTGCATCACCATCTGTCTCCATCGTAAGTTGGCATCCTCCGGCACAGACAGGTCCACCGACGCGGCGACACCTTGCTCACCCGGACCCGTACTCGTTCCAGAACGGATCTCCTCTTCCATCGCAGGCAGGTCCACTGTCTGAGGAAGGTCGTCGTCGTCGGATGATGTAGCAGGAATATTTTTTTTTTCTTCTTTCTCTCAGTTGTTTTGAGATGCCGTTTCACTTCTGACTCCAGTGTAATAAAAAGGACTCAGACGCTTCTCGCTGACTCCGTGTCCTTTATTTGGGGTTCGCGTTCTCCTTCCCACACGGCACTCCTCCTGAGACTCTCTCCCTGGCAGCCCCACATCTGCCTTCGCTCCCCTAGCCTTCCACGCTCCTGCAGCTCCGCTGCAGGCTCTTGGTACAGCCCTCTGGCTGCTCCCCCAGCAGCTCCATCGCTGCTCCCTGTTCCTCCGTGCGTGGCGATCTCGCCACCTCCCAATGTCAGCCCTTCGTGGCCTCTATGGCTATCTCGCCATTTCCTACCTCAGCCCTTCGTGGCCTCTGTGGCTATCTCGCCATTTCCTACCTCAATCCTCCACTCTCTCTTCCACCCCGCTGGCTGGCGCCGTCATGAGCCCCTCAGCCACCAGGCTGAGGCACGGCGACCACCCAACGTGTTCACCACCCTTCACTCCCCCGACTGACCCAGATAGCTTCCTGTCTCCCCGCTATAACTTCTCCCCCACGTCACCCTGACTCCTCCCTCTCGGATCGTCATATCCGCCCCGCCCATTTACGCCCGCATTACACTTTCATCAATTCACCAAGACCGGCATTGTGCAGAATCAATCCCCCCATGACCTAAAAGGGTTGGAAGGTTTTCATTCAGCAGTGGATTAATTGTTAAATGGCTGTAATATACATCTTACACTAGTACAGAGCAAACTCAATGTAAGAATTGTTTATGGATGAACGTGTGTATTTCTCACCTCTGCATAATCCAGCTTTCCATCACGGTTAACATCGGCATCTTCAAACACTCCTTGTAGCTCCTTCAAAGTCATCCGCTCCCCTCTCTGTGCATGTGTACAGAAAGTAGAATGCGACGTTGTAAAGTTAAATTTCGATTTAAAGCTTTCGTGACTGCAGGGATTCATATTCTTGCTTCTTTCGGTAAAGTCACGTAGAAGGGAAATAATAAAATAATAAAAATAAAACAATAAAATTCTCACGACGTTTCGATTGCAACACAAGCAATCATCATCAGGTGTGAAATGTTCTTGCTGTGGTTTTCACACCTGATGACGATTGCTTGTGTTGCAATCGAAACGTCGTGATAATTTTATTGTTTTATTTTTATTATTTTATTGTTTCCCTTCTACGTGACTTTACCGAAAGAACCAATAATATGTTGTAAAGTTAGTTTTGTAACAGTTGTTTGGTCATTTTCCATCAGTTTTATCCTAAGAGTACTGCGAGACAAACCTTATATTTGGATTCCTCACACAGCAAGTGCAACCCTTCGTGTTAGGGAATGGCCCATGGAAGCAGATATCACAGAGCTACCACTGAGATCACTTTACGTGACATGGTCTATAGAGTAGAGGGCAGCACTTTCCCACTCGCTCTGCTATATGAAAGTAAAGTTTGTCACGGAAGAGTCAACCCAATATTTAATTGTCAGAGATGGAAGTTGGGAAAATTAATCGCAGAACCAAATGTTTTGTGACGGCATGATTTTGTACAGTTATTAGAAACTGGGCTGAGACCATAAACTCTAACTCTAATTTACAGAGTGCTTTCCCTCAAGGCGCTAGACATAGCTTTGAAAACGGTGACAGAATGGAATGCTGTAGTTGACTGGGACGTACATGTATTGAGGAATGAGTGACATTGATAGAGAAGTACATAGGGATCACGAGAGGGTAGGAGAGGGACGGGAAGGAGTGGAGTCGCGAGGGGAGGGAAGAAGAAAATGGGCGACAGAGAAGAGGTGAGGATTTAAGATAGGAACGGAAGGAGCTTAAGGAGGGCGACTGCTCAGTGTACAAGGGAAGTTTATTCCAGTGGAGGGGAGCAAGGAAGGAGAAGGATTTGATATACTTTTACAATTTGTAATGACATACTTTATATTTATTTATACTGATTTGTTGACCTTTCCAATACTTTGCATTTCTATTGGTTTGTGTATTGCCAATTTTCTTACCTGCCCGTACTGGACATCTGTGAAAAATAGCTTCATAGCTCATCGGATTCCTCCTCCAGTCTAAATAAAGATTCTGATTCTGAGAAGGACCGAAAACGGGGAATGGGTACAGGGAGAAGGAGGGACAGAGAGTGAGAGAGAAAGGTTTTGAAAATATAGTAGTTTCAAATGGGAAGCCAGTGGCATTGAAGGAGGAGAGGCAAAGTGTGGGAATTAAAGGGGAGTTTGAAAATAATTTGTGCATAAGCATTTGAAATTGTTGGACCAGAGTGAGGGCAGAGGCAGAGAGACCAAGAAGAAGAAAATTGCAGTAGCCCAGACGGTTAATGAATCAGAGAATAAACCAGGCATCAAACTCAACTTCGTGCTCTGGCCTCTGAGCCAACCAGCCCACCTCCAGTATTGTAACTTTAAAATAATTGTAATTATGTTTTCATTTTATTCCAAGTATTACTCTCCCCAAATATGCTTTAAAACATCTATTTCATAGCCCAGTAAAGATAGAATTGGCCAACATCCCAATGCAGGACTCTCCTGAAAACAATATTTCGAACTTAATAATATTAAATGTGTCATATTGGGACTGCCAATTTACGTAAGTAGATTTCCTTTAACGTTTTTATGCCAAAACTATAAACTAAACACGAAACATAAACAAACAGGGGTGGCTGGATATACTACTTATGTCAGCGCACTGCACTGGCAATGCAACATTCTGGGTTCCAATACAAATACAATTATCCAAAAATCTTGTTTTTCATGCCCTAAATCAATCCGTGAACACTCCTCATATGCAGATATTGATTTTAGTAAAATTAGAAATGGCGTTACCAGTTCAAAAATAATGCCCTCTAGTACCTGTTAAGAGTGTCAAAAATATTCCAGCAATGGATCAATATCGTTTGTCGGCTGTTTTGAGGTGGCTGGCCTAGGTTCCCTGGCCCTGGTTATCAAGGCCGCCATGGCGGTGAGATGGTAACTATCTTGCCTGGGATACAGGAGGTCATGGGTTCGATCCTGACCCTGACGGCTGTATATTTGGAGTTTGCATGTTCCCTCCGTGGTCGCGTGGATTTTTCTCCAGGCCATCTGGTTTTTCCCTCCACGGTGACTTTCGGTGAGCACCACTAACCGTGGTGAGCACCCGCCGGAGCTCGTCGAGCGTGAGGAAGCCGTCGCTGTTGCGGTCGATCTTGCGAAAAGCAGCGAGCAGCTCCTCACGTGCCACGGGCCTCTCCTGCCGTGCCACCTCGCACACGTCCTCAAAGTCCAGCGCCGACATCGACACCGGGAAGTATTGTTCCAGCGCACGGCGGGACGGGCTCCTCCCAGCATGCTGCAGAACTGAGAGAGCGGGTACCAGTGAAGGCTGAAGGCAGTAAAGGGGCCCAAGTGCACAGTACAACTCTGCGCACCAACCCTCCGATTAGCACGGTTAGCAATGTACGGTGCGAAAGAAGTTCAACATGCATATATAGATGCATACAACCCTGTTTTCAAAGAGCTTACAGGTCTGTGCCACCAGATGAATGTGGGCCCAATTGGTGTGTTGACGAACGTTCCTTATCAAACTATTTTTTTATCTGGGCTGTTTCGTCAACAAGTCCAATCTATGAGGTGGCCGGGTGACTCAAGAGATCGGAGCGCTGCTCTGGAACCGCTGAGATCCTGGGGCTTGAATCCAGATTTGCCTGTGATTAAACCGGATTCTCAAGTATAGCGAGTGACATGGTATCAGCCTGGTCGCCACTGACTGCACAAAAAACCCCTCACATTTGATTTATTCCAGTGCTTAATTTGGTTAAAATCCAGCTCTGATAATTAAAAACATCAGTTGGGTTGCCACCCAACGAACATTGCTCTCACTGGGTTGATGAGTGGGAAAGTGCTGCCCTCCACTGTGTATAACAGAGATCACGGGAAGCAATCTCAGAGGTAGTTTTGTGATATCCCCTTCTGTGGGCCATTCTCAAACATAAAGGGTTGCACTGCTTAGCAAAGAGATACGAACGGACGATGCGTCTCATGATACGACACCAATAGCACAACCGGGATAAAATTGGAGGAAAATATGAAAAAAAGTATATTACAACAAATCTCTGACTCTATATGCATGAACAAAGAGCTGATAGGTCTCCTGTAACAACAGGTAATTGGAAACGCACCTTGACAAAGCTGCTGACGAGTGGTTATCTTCTCCAGCGTGCTCTTGCACACCATCAGGTAGGCGGCTCTACACTGCCGGTAGAACTCCTCCTCTCCTGCCCTTCCATTCAGTTCTGACTTTTCACCAACATCTGACCTATCGATGACTTCTGACCTTTTGACAATGGCATCTGACTTGCGACTTGAAATGGAAGCCACGCTGTTCTTTCGACTGCCCATGGCTAACGTTCACTGCAAAGTAAACAACAAAAACGCAATGGAAAGTCAACTCATTCAGTCCGTCTACTGTCAAGCCAAGTGACGTTTAGTTTTGCTTATATCAAATTAATACTCAAACATAAACATATACAATGAGAAAAAAGACATGTACCAATTATCTCCCTGGTAAAATGAGCAATGGGGTAATGGTTATTCTCCATTGGCAAGGCTTGGGCAGTGGTGGAAATTTCAATTTCATAATGCAGGAGCCAAATGAACCCATAGGAGACTGGCATTGTTTTGATGTTATCAAGCAGTGGATGAAAGCCAGTCAATTTATGACTGTAATTTGAAATCACAACCTTTTGACTTGAGTCAAGTGCTCCAACTACATTATCACCAAGCCAGATGTATACAGGCAAAAGTCTTTTACCTATGAAAACCTGAATTAAACTCTTAAGATACATTTTTATACGTTTAGGCTATTTGGTAAATGTTTTCGTGAGTTTTTTGTGAGGAAGAGAAGCAGAGTAATTGATACAGCTAAGCCTCTGCAAGACTTGTCCCTCTTTTTCTGGAGGGTCCTGTCCAGGGCCGGATTAAGGTTCTTGTAGGTCCTCGGCATTTCTGTTTCGTAGGCCTTCAGTGATAACGTTCGACAGTTGGCACTGCTGCTGCCCATGTTACTACCGCCGCTGTCACTCGCTTTTTTCACGCGTACTTCGTCCAGCCGCCGGATAGATGTCGTTACTGATACGTTCATTATTTAGCCTGTGTCCTAATTCGATGGGAGCGTGCTGTGTGCCGTAGATAAGCAGATTTACATTGAAATTAGTGAGAGAGAGAAAACAAGTTAAGCCTGAAAATATTACAAACGAAAGTGTCTTCAACAATCTTTTACTATGATTATCATATCGGATGACAAAGCTTTAAAAGGATGCCGTTCATTTCCATCGATAACAAATTCAATGTTCTGATAGGACGACCGCATGGTGAGCGCCATATTGCCTTACTTTCGTTTTAGATTAAAGTTTTGTTTGACTGTCATTTTAGGTGGAATATGCCTCACTCACGGATGAACGACTTATTGCACCTGCAAATACATTGCAACGAGCAGCCAACAAATTATGTGCCAAAAATAATGAATGAGATTGTGCGAAAAACACCATTTGAAGATGTTACTGCTAATTTTTCAAAGAAAAAATCTTGAAAAGTCAATCTCCGGTGTTAATTTCTCTCACCTTATGAAAAAAACCGATTGACATAACTGGCTCTTTGTATAAACACGGCGTCTATCCTTGCTATATACATATATTTATTCCAGAACATATCTTGGTTACATTTTTTATCATACAAACAAAAAAACATGGTAAAATTGTGTTTTCGAAGGCGCTATTGGATAATACGGCCCTGGTCCTGTAGTGGGATGCTTTACCAACTGCATTTAGTATGTATGTACAACGTATGTTGAACTTTTTTCGCACCGTACGTAGCCAACCATGCTAATCGGAGGTGCGGGGGAAGGACAACATTTTAAAGATCGGTTTGCGTGTGGAGGAAAACAGAATTCCCCAGACCAAATAGATGGCTGCAAGCTCAACGGTCTACACAGATTTGGTCACAAACTCACTTGCTGAACAAATATCTTTCAGTCGTAGTACAACCTCAACGGTTTGAGAGTTTACAAAACCACATGAATCGTCATCCCTTGCCTCGAAAGTGTCGAATTAGAGCCATGTGCAACTGTGCTGGACGCATGCCCATATGAGGCAATAAGTCATTCGCCAGAACAGAAAGTTCAATAAACATATTCTCTTGATTGACATCTACTCGCAACGGTCCTGCAGGCTGAAATAAGCACACAATGAAATAGGGTACAGTACTGTACTGCATCCATGAACCAACAACTCAGCCTGCCACAGCACTTGTAATACAGGCGAATAGTTCCAAAACGTCTGGCAAATACAGTACTCCAGATGAGATTTACTCACGACTGTATATGTGTCATATTACTTGAATGCCTATCACCACCATGCCACATGGCCAATTCCTACGGTTTAAGCAACGACTGCTGATGGTCAACGTGCATGAATAATGTGAATGACAAGAGAGCTGAAATATACATTCAGTAGGACTATATTAAAGTAAAATCTCTGTACAGCGTGCTACTGCAGTCCTCTCTAACTTTACTGCGGCTCTGATGGCACAAGCAGTCCAGTGCTAAATGTTTTTTATAGTGTGTGTTGATACATGGCTGCATGAGAGGTCCCGAAAGAGGCAAAGATGTTTTTCTAACATGCCAAGTCCCACGCCCCTACCGTGAGAGGCACATCTTAAACCATCACATCCAAGACCGGATTAGTGCTCGTGGGGGGGGGGGGGCTGCCTGTCGTATGTGTCCGATGTATGCACTTTGACATTTACGACAATGGCTTTAAAGCCAGCAGTAAACGTTGCAGATGGAGTTGGGGCTCGCTCATTCCTCCGTTGCCTCCCTGCCTTTTTAGTGTGTGGCACGCGTGTGTGTGATCCAGCCACTTCGTAGCGGGGTTGGTGATTCGTGCAGAGATTGAACCTTCGTGTTTGATACACCCAACTGGAATGGCACTGATATTCCTGTAGGCACTATATCCAGTAGGTTTGGGCACCATAATTTTTTAGTGTTATCCCATCATTTGAATGAGATTGTTTTTTCCCCCCAAGAACTCCAATTTTATAAACACGAAAAAAGTTATTCGATCTGAATTGGCCAAAAATATCAATGCAGGAAACATACGCACGAGTACGATAGTTCAACAAAGTGTTACAAAAAAATACCTGTGAAATTCCATGGTTTTAGTCACTACCCAAATAATCAATGTGTCCGAAATGTCACGGACAATTTTCATTTAATGACGATTTGTAACTTCTAACTAAAATAGCGGAATGAGAATTGACGTTGTGAACTTCTAGAACTCCATAAGAAGAGCATGGTGAAACATAACAAGTTGTTTTACCGATGTTAAAGGTCATAACAACATGTCATCGTCCGTACCACGAGGGCCTCGTTCCTTCTGGTTATAATCCGCCGTGACTCAACTCTCGTTACGACACAAATTACTCGTGCGCTGCGATGGAAAGTGACTCCTCGCAGATTAAACACATTTCTGCTGCGGAGGGAGCTGGTAGGAACGTCGGGTTGCTCGGTCAATGGCCAGGGTCAACGGCGGCGTGGTGTATTCCGCAAATATGCCCGACTGTGAGGGCGGGCACAAGCCGGCGTGAGTAGGTGAAACGTTGAGTTTTATAAGGGCACCACGGGGTGACCAGCCCCTCCCCACCCAGCCCCATCCCCTCCCACCCCCCACCCAGCCCCACCCCACCCAGCCCCTCCCCACCCAGCCAGCCCCTCCCCACCCAGCCCCACCCAGCCCCTCCCCACCCAGCCCCACCCCTCCCACCCCCACCCCCAGCCCTTCCCCACCCAGCCCCTCCCCTCCCCACCCAGCCCCTCCCCTCCCCACCCAGCCCCACCCAGCCCCTCCCCACCCAGCCCCACCCCTCCCACCCCCACCCCACCCAGCCCTTCCCCACCCAGCCCCTCCCCTCCCCACCCAGCCCCTCCCCTCCCCACCCAGCCCCTCCCCTCCCCACCCAGCCCCACCCTACCCACCCAGCCCCTCCCTGCACGTCGGACACAATAATCCCCTGTGGGCTGGTGTAACCAGGAGGTTCCTACCAGTAAGACGTTTCTTATGCAGAATGTAAATACTGAGCCGTGTCACAAATTACATAACCTCAAAGGTTAAAAATTGTCCTCGACAGTAGAATACATTGGGATATGAGCACGTCGACCTTATCAACACGAGTGGAGAGACCATTTACTGGATGTATGTCTATCAGAATTAAGTCCGAATTGGCATCATGCTATGTATGACCATGTAACATCTTTACATGGTCATACATAGCATCTTTAAATTGTCCGAGATGTACGTCCGTAAACGTGTGGATTAGCCCTGTAATTATACAAAGACAAAGATGCCCCAGGTAGCCTTAACAGACTGTCGGGGCAAGTGCTGTTTGCGAGCAGCTATTAAGGCCGGCACTGTGGCACACGAGGGGGGGTGGGTGGCCAGCACCACGCCCGGCCGCCTTTGTCTCCCCAGTGGCGATGTCCACCTAATTAGACGGGAAAGTGGTGACCATCAAGCACATGAGCACCAACAGTTACGACTAAACATGTTAAACACTCTAAAGGGCTTAGACATAGCAAACCCTTTGCTTGTATACTGTATGGTGAACTACCATGTACAGTTGCTTACAGCTGTATACAGCACTGTAGAGAGTATTGTGTGTTGTGACCCCCACAATATAATTAAGGTTAATTTAAAACAGAAACGAACACGCAAAGAACACAAATGTTCGGGGTCGATTAATTGAGGGGTCACAAAACATCTGGACCACCACCCTGTACACAGGAACATATCGATATTGATAAATAATCAACACAAAAACACACCTTATTTAAAAAGCTTCCGATGCACAATCTTTGCAATCGTACGTTTGATTAGTTTGTATAATTATTAAACGATGGCGAATATCCGCTATGAACCTTTGTAAAACAAGTTCGATTACCGGCTAACGTTAGTGTTGGCCCCTCACCAACTCGCACTGACCAGCGCAGTGAAGTATGGTGAAGAAAACCAACTCACATCCACCGACACGGAGTCTTCATCGAATAAGTGGACTGACGAAGTATAAATGTAATGTTTTAATCACGTAAAGTATTTACACTTAACAACGCCTCGCTGTCTTGACGATTCTTTAAATTAATTACAGTATTTTAAAAAGCTATTATACAGACCAAAGCGTACCTTGTAATAGAGAGCTTAATCGCTGACGTGTCCGTGTATTTATGTTTGAATTCAACAAGAAGATGAAGAGTAACTTATTGTAACGCTAAAGGTTCCACGCTGCGAGCGGCAAACAGCTGCGACGTTTCCATGGCGACGGGGCGGCGCGGCCTAAGCAAACAGGCTCCACTGCGCTAATAACGCCCTTAACTTTGCACCTTTTACACCACGCTACACATTGTACACACTACTATTATGATTTTTAATCCTACAATTGTTGAAACCAATTAAATTGCAGCTGACGATTTGTGATTGATGCACTTTACGCCGAACGTGCAAGGCCACGTCTGCTAGTGGCTAAACAATTGACCCGGAAACACTTCACTTGTTTTCAAATGTTGTCATATCTTCGGTTTTACTGAAACTAAATACGAAAGGGGTTCTTTAGTTTGTTTAAATAACGTTGTCATGACACTTTTCATGAAATGGACATTAAGTAATTCTCATATATCAATGGGGGGTTACCCCATGCATGGACATGGTGGACCAGATGTCTTGTGACTCCCAATTCATTGACCCCGAACATATTTGTTCCTTTGCATCTTAATTTTATTATTTTATTATTTCCCATCTATACGTGATTTTACCGAAAGAACCAAGAATATGAATATCTTCATTTCTGTTTTAAATAAACATGACTTGAAACAAAATATGAAGTTTTAGGAAATTAAATGGGGTCACAAGACATCCGGACCACCCTGTACAATAATTATTGTCTCATGTTCAACATTCAATTATATTACTTATAGGGCCGTCCATAAATGACGTCACGCGATTCTGGACGATTTTTTACCCCCCCCCCCCCCATTCGTCACACGGCGTCGCAAAAAGTCAGACGCCCCCTCAAATATGACGTCACAAAGCTCTGCCCCCCCCCCCCCCAAATAAAACATGCTTCAAATCGCTTTAAACTACTATCATTGTAGTGCGTATTTGATGTGCCGCTGCACTCTGATGTTGTAGGAGAAAACATTTATTAAAAAGTCTATTTAATTAAGTAGAACGTGTTGTCTATGTTTATTTAAAGTTGCGCATTTTGATGTGACGTCACATTTCTCACCCCCTCCCCCTCGTCACACATCGTCACAAATGTCTGACCCCCCCCCCCCCTAGGTGCGTGACGTCATTTATGGACGGCCCCTAAGATATTGGACAGAGTTTTATAGGCTTTGGCAAAAAAAGATCAAATATTACCCCCGCCTCAATTTTCAGTCCCAAATTTTTATTATTTTAGTTTTTTTTCTAGTTAGAAGTATAGCCTGGAATATCAATGTGCCAAATTTCAGTTGTATAGCCTTCTAATACAAGTCAGTCACAGCCGTTAATATGAGACCGGATTGGATATTATTAGATACTGTACTAGCTTTTTTGCCCTTCCAAGGATGGGTGTATATTGCAGTCAATCTGAAATATTCAATAGAAAAATTGTTCAGCTCATGATTATTAATGAGGGGGGGGGGGGGGGTTTGCCCCATGTGTAGTGACGTCACCCGCTAATGGTTATTGGGGAGGGGTGCGGCATGTGGAGTGACGTCACCCGCTAATGGTTATTGGGGAGAGGTGCGGCATGTCGAGTGACGTCAACCGTTCATGATTATTAACGAGGGGAGGGGTGCAGCATGTGGAGTGCGCGACCTTCTTGTGCGTTCGTGTAAATTTGCACGCGGGCATGAATATTAATGAAGGGGGGGGGGGGGGCTCTTTTGCAGTGACGTCACGCACCGACGTAGCACTGTGCTGCGTAGATGTATTTTAAGATCCTTTATATTATGTTCGCTTGCTTGCGCGCTTACGACCGTGCAAATCTTTCGGTCGTTTTTTTACCCACTTCCCTTCATCCAATCGAGCTGACATTTTGCACACAGACTCGTTGTGCGTGACAATTAATTTTCTGAAAACATTTTTCCAAAATTTTACACTTTTTAGGAATTTTTTAAATATGTAATTACCAATTGCTTAATGGTGGCAGGCAATCATCTGACCCATAGGTGGCAGCCATCTCAAGCCAGAGGACGAGAGGACTCTAGCCGCCACGCATATAAAAGATTTATAGTGAAAAACTTTGTTTTTACGGGTTCATTTTTTATTAAATCCTTTATATTAAGTTCACTTGCTTGCTTGCTTAGGACCGTGCAAATCTTTCGGTCGTTTTTTAACCCACTTCCCGTGATCCAATCGAGCTGACATTTTCCACACAGACTTGTTGTGCGTGACAATTAATGGTCGTGAAAATTTTTTTCCAAAATTTTACACTTTTTAGGACAAAAATATTATATTTACTTACCAATTGCTTAATGCTGCCATGCAATCATCTGACCCATAGGTGGCAGCCATCTCAAGCCAGAGGGCGAGAGGACTCTAGCCGCCACGCATATAAAGGATTTATAGTGAAAAACTTTGTTTTTACGGGTTATACTTGTTTACCGTTTCTGTCAAGAAACGTCATATTTGAAGCGACTTTGCGTAATAAATTATTTAATTAAGCTCAACCTTTGCGTTAGTGTATTAATCCACCCACTCATGAATATTAATTAGGGGGGTGGACCTCATATAGTGACGTCTCGCGGGGGGCCTCATGTGGGGTGACGTCTCGCGGGGGGCCTCATGTGGGGTGACGTCACGCTGGGGCCTCATGTGGAGTGACGTCACGCGGGGGGCCTCATGTTGAGTGACGTCACACGCGGGACATATTCTTGGCTCATTATAGTAGTAATGTTCAATGTGCAAGTTTATTTATGGAAACATTTAAATGTTTGTGTTTACGTGCACACATCTTAATTCATACTGGTAGGAACCTCCTGGTTACACCAGCCCACAGGGGATTATTGTGTCCGTCCGTCGTGCAGGGAGGGGCTGGGTGGGGAGGGGAGGGCGAGGAGGGTGGGGCTGAGTGGGGAGGGGAGGGTGGGGAGGGGCTGGGTGGGGAGGGGCTGGTCACCCCGTGGTGCCCTTACAGAGGTCGCAAAACGGGTTTTGATTCCTTACCCGTACCCGGCCGCACCAGGGTCGCAAACGGGTACCCGTACCCGGCCGTACCCTACCCGTACCCGGCCGGGTACGGGTAGGGTATCGGGTACCCGATTGCGACCTCTGGGATGAAGCCATGTTGCAGGCGCGGGTGGGTTGATTCTAGGAACTTGAATTGTGAGAAGAGACAAGACGTTGGGAAATGAGTGACAAACAGTTACTAACCGGTGACTCACGGCCTACCCGTACCCGCACCAGGGTCGCAAACGGGTACCCGTACCAGGCCGGGTAGCCGGGTATCGGGTAGGGTACGGGTATTGGGTACCCTGTTGCGACCTCTGTGCCCTTATAAAACTCAACGTTTAACCTACTCACGCCGGCTTGTGCCCGCCCTCACAGTCGGGCATATTTGCGGAATACACCACGCCGCCGTTGATCCTGGCCATTGACCGAAGAACCCAACGTTCCTACCAGCTCCCTCCGCAGGAATGTGTTTAAATCATGTTTTTACCTTGTCCCACCAATCTTGCAGCAACTAAATGAGCCATGTTCAGAAACTGGCCCATGGCCCAAGAGTATAAGTTAGTTAATACTCTTGATCCCCGATGGGACACGAGGCCGCAATGAGTTTCCACTTCTTCCTGTCCTTGCCAACTTGTTTGAGCCTCGCCCCAAGAGAGGTTAATCGCTGCTACTAAGCTCGTCCTTCACGATATTGAATATCTTTATTCCTCAGAGTATAAACTGTATTTATTTTATCAGAATTTATTGAATAATTTCAAACAATAACATAGTTACCACAAATATGCGGGACAAGCATCCCAGTAAATATGGAACGTTGGGCCAACATTGGTCCAATGGTTTCAACTCCGTGCCAGCCTTGGCGCAATGTTGCATGTTTGCTGGGATCAACTTCAAGAAGGTAAAGCAGTAACCTGGTTTACGTCGAGGGTGCGTTCCTAAAAGGTGCAACAACGAATATCGAAACGGCGTAAATCAAGGCGATTCATAGGGTAGGTGGAGGGGAAGGCTGAGAGGTGATAATGAGAAACGTCGGACGATGCTGCTAATGATGTGTGGTTTGAGGCTATGTAAAATCGGGTAGGGGTATTAATCAAGTTACGACATATTTACGAAACGACACAAAAGGAGACGACGTACATCGGGGGTATTAATTTATTTCTTAACAACAATCCATGGGAATATTAATTAGATTTTCGGGACTTTAGTACAGACAGTGTTGCAAAAACAAACACATTACCTCTGTTAATGACACAACTGACAATTATGTATATGCACTAATGGCTTAAGGCAGCATGTTATAATTTATAAAATGTACATTCTTTTAAATCAAAAGACGAGAAAAAACTTTTGACAGAAACAGGATGGAATGCCTTTGGAAAACTCAAGAACGAAAAACAGTGTACCGACGTCCCCAGCGAAGAACATTTCCAATAGTAGTATACTTACTGTATCAGCTATGACATGGATCACAAATATTTACACTGAAAAAAATGCTATATTGTACTCTAATGTAAAAGTGTGTGATTAAAAATTGAGAAATTATTGTTGAGAATATTTGAATGCACACATTATGGTAGAATGGAAATGCTTGAATTATCACCGCTCTAGAGTGCAGAACACCAATTGGCAATCGGCACAAAATGTGTAAAAGTTCCGCAAGCGGCAGGCTTGTCATCGTTGTTGTGCGCACGAGAAAGAGAAGTGGAAAAGGCGTGGGTGGCTTAGCACCCACGCGGTTTCGCAAGGAAAACTGAATTTGGCACACGCAAAAGAGGACCTACAGTCTTATTGAAATCAAGAGGTTACCACAAACAGTGGTGCAAAAGAGATACGAAAAAGAGAAGCGGGGAAGAACTTGGACCAAATTTAATGACATAACGGACAGAGTTGGCGCAATGCGATCGACAACAACAGCAGCAAAGGTGGTTGAAAACAGCAACAGGAGTGGATGGAATTCGCATCAAACAGCACGCGCGAAAATGCACCTGATGATAACGACTGTATTGGGCAGTGTTCTTCACTCATGTTCTGAGAGGTGGGGGGTGGGGAACACTTTCGCAGATACGACATCAGGGTGAGGGCTGCCACACCGTCTGCAAGCGGTGTTTTCACACTGGTGTATTGTCAGGGAGACCGCACGTCAGGGGCCCCACTAAAGGCCACCAGGGGCCACCAGTGGGCCGTAGGCCTTGCAATGAAGAACATTTCTGGACTTTGTATGATGGCAACTTGCAATGAAGAACACTGGTATAGGCAGAATCACAAGACAGTATCATAATATTGAACAACGTTCGCGGTATACATGGAACGTTGGACAAACGCTGGGCCATCATTGGTCCAGCGGGTTGAACCACATGGCAAAGTTCGCCCAGCGTTGCATATTTACTAGGTTGCTGTATTGCAGCCATTCGTATGCAAGTTGCCATCATACAAAGTCCAGCCATGGCCAGCTATTGACTGCATTTCAGTGTAATGCATGTTAAAGAGCTACCCGAG